CTTCACCCCCTGTGCTCCTGCCGGCCCTGCTCTGCAGGGTCTCCGGGGCAGGCTCGGTGGCCACGGGCCTGGGGTCAGCTCCGAGGACAGCACACGGGACAGCAGGGCACTGTGCAGCAACTAACACGGGCTCGCTAGAGCTGCGGCCCGGAGCAGCCTCTGGCGAGCCTGAAGCCCATGGCAGCCCCTGGCTGTGGCCTGTGGGGAACACGCTGCCTCCCCCCCAGGCTACACTCCCCGCCTGGGGGACGCAGCAGCCGACACCGTCGGTTGGCACACACCGTGGTGTAAGGTGGCGAGGGACCTGCGCCAGGTTTCTCGGCGCAGCGGTGAGGCAGGAGGTACAGCCCTGCGCGACAGCCAGGCGGAGGAAGGCCTTCTCTCTCTCCTCCACGGGCCCAGCTTCCAGCGCTTTAAGGGAGGGAACAGGGTTAACAACAGCCCGGCCTTCCCTTCTGGCAACAAGGCTCTGTTTGCACCACAACGTTGATAAATCTGGTGCTTTTGCCACATGGCTAGCAGACACCTTGGCTAGGTAATGGTACAAGCTCTCTCTCTTTAGCTCGACTCTTCCTTTCCCAGACCCTTTCTGCTCTCTTCCTTTCTCCCTTTCTACAAATTACTCAACTGGTTATTAAGTTTAGCAGCTGCCCACCAACCCCACTGCCTAAAGAAGTTTCCTATTTTCTTAAGTGGAAAACTTAAAACAAAAGAGGAAGCGTGACTTCCTCTGGTAGAGCAGCAAGTTTGTGGCAAGGGAGCAGAAGCCACATTTCCCCTATCTATAACTTGGCAATGACGTGGCCTCCCAGCACGCTGCTGCCTGCAGGCATGCCGTTGCCGGTCCCGAAGCAGCGGTGTATCCCAAGGGTGCGCGTATCCCTCGGGCCCTGGAGACACGCAGCTTTCAGAGGCCAGCTCGCCTGAAACCTGCAGCTTTTTACGTTCCTTTGGTGGACGTGAGTTGGCCGAGGCAGGCGGACACCCGCCTCGGCCCGCGCAGAGGAGCGGGGCCACGGCGCTGCCCCCCCAGCTCCCCGCTGCTGCCCACTGCCTCCGCCTCAGCGCAGGTTATGCAACTGGAGGAGCAGGACTGCACGCTGGGACTTGTAGTCTCTAGGGATCTCCTCTGGCTACAGACTGAAACGCTGCCTCGGCTTCCTCCTCAAGACCCCAGGTCTTTCCTTGCTATTCAGCATGTCCAGGCTCCTGCCCTTTCACTGACCGTTCGCTACAGGGAGTTTGTGCTCCAGCACTTTGTTGCAGCAGCTGTTGCGCTCCTAAAACCATCTTCTGAGGTTAAATGGTTTGGGGACAACGGGATGAGCAGTGCAGCCCCAACAAGCTGCTTTGCACACGCAGGCAGTGTGAAAGAGCAGGGGGGGGGACATGTTTTCAGGACATTATAAGCTCTATAACAAGCACATTTTTCCAAGGGAGCTTCAACTGCTGACATCTCCCGGAACTAAGGACTTCAGTCTTACCTACAGTCTAGGTCTTCTGAACACACTCAGCAGGTGGCTTTTTGGGTTTTAACTCGAATCTGATTAAAATTAGCATTGCTTTGGATTCTGCATTTGCTCGCACGTTCCAGTGTCCAACTTCTGTTTACAGCCTGGGCTTATCTTTTAATAGGCCTCTCTCCTGTTTGAAAGCTTCACGCTCATGAGGAAAATGCCAATTCCACAACAAACGGTCATACTGACACATTCATCCCTGATCATTATTTCTGTTCTGTTTCAGTTGCACAAGTTCTTGATGTAATTTGGAACAAGAAGCAGCAAGTAAAATCCATGCTACTGTGATGTCTGACCAGTGTCCTCTGGAAAAACAGCGAGTCAGACCTATAAAAGCAAAAGAGAAATCCAAGTCTAGAAAAAGTATATGCTGAGACAAACTGAAATGGTAGTGCTGTGAACATGTGAACACTAACAGTCATTGCTAGTATGGTCATCTTTTATGCACTTTGTTACAAATAGAGTTCAAGAGACTTGACGTAATAAAACTACTATTCCAGCACTCACCACCTTTCAGTTAATCCTTGATCTCCTTTGAGCTTGCACCAAAAAGAATATTTTCCCTTGTATATTTTTCCTGTAACAGCACACGAAACCTCTGTATTCCAAAATCTGTAGAAAGGAATTTGTCAATTTTTTCAATCCATTCCTGATTGCAGTTTTTTAACATGAAAACTGTTTAAAGTGCAATTCTGCCTGTATTTCCATTCTACATTCTTTCCATTCCAGTCTCCTTTCCTGCAGTTTCCTCTGCTAGCTTTTGCTTTGCACCATAGCTGTCTGAATTAACATGTTGCACTCTACAGAAGAAACCGTGTTTGTAAACACAGTTTAAAAATGTAGCAACCCCTGAACAACCAGACAGCTGGAAAAACTGAGCTTTGCCATTAGCTGACAGCACTCTCAACAGTCAAAGGACTGTTCCTGGGATCAGAGGCTGCAGCAGTGCTGCCATGAAAGCACTTCTCAGTTGAGCAATGGTTTACAAACAGTTAATCATCCAAAGTGGACAAGGTTTCAGCAAGCAGTTTGGAGACAGCTTAGAAAAACGGGTGTAAATAGAAGTCAAGCCTTAGAAATACAAACCAGAGAGATGGGCTGGATACAAAAGGGCAATGGGCAGGCAGTGGAAGGGTTCAGATACATGAATGAATACGTGAATGAAAACGTCTAAGGACTGGAAGGAGACAATGATTTTGGAAGCAGCAGAGGGTGAGGAAGAAAAGGCAGCAAAAAGGTTCAAGAAATGGTGGAAGTGAACATAAGTAATAGCAGGAGGTGGTAAAAGACCTAGGACTTGTTAACAGGACTTTCCTACCCCGTGCATCACACTGCCATTACGCAACATTTAGACTTTTTGCTCTCACAATTCCAACAAAGTCCAAGTCTTTAAACACCCTTCCCCTTATCAAGCCTGTAGGAGTCTTCTGGAATCCTAGAGATAGGGACGGCCTTGGTGTCTCGCATACCCCTGAGGCTGCCCCGGGTGCCACAGCACTCAGGGTGGCCTGCAGCACCCCCAGCACTGCCCTGGGCACCCCAGCCCCAGGAGGGGGGACCTCTCAGAGGACCCCCGATGCCTCAGCCCAGAGTGGGTGGTGGCTCATGGGACTCCCGAGGCTGGCCCAGGCATTTCAGACCCAGGGGCGACTCGCGGATTCCCACCACCACCCCGGGCACCTCAGCCCCAGGGGTTGCTCTCAGGATCCCTGACGTTGCTCCAGGTGCCTCAGCCTCAGGCAGTATCTAAACAAACCTAGCCCTATCGACAGGCATCAATACCACTTGGTTTCAAGAGGCACCTGTAGCTTTCGCTCTCTGTGTGGAGCTTGTCACAAGACAAAGCAGAGAAAAATTGGGAGGGAAGTATGCGTGGTTGTCTGTATCCATGGCTAAGATCAGTCCTGGAGGAGTCCAGGATGTGTCACGTCCTTCCCATGTCCGATTCCGGTCAGTGGCAACGAAGATTTCTTCCTCATCAGACAGAAAAACCTTCCTTTTACTGGTCAGTCAGGTTGTCACTGAGGTCTGCAGGGGGCACACGTGCACTCTAGCTGCCCAAGCACTGCCTGCTCAGTTGCCACAGGGCATCATCTGCTCTTCGGTGCTGGTTTCTGCCCTCAGTCCTGGCTGAGCATGAGCACACACCAGCAGAACACCAGAAACTTTATAGCTGGCACTAAATTCTTGCCAAAAATAGAGCAATGTAATTACGTTACAGCTCCACTTTGCCCACGATGGGAATCACTGCTGCTGAGCCTCTTGATGGCCAGCCTCCGCTGCAGCCCCACAGATCAGTTGACGATTTGTTAGGGCAAGTCTCTCCGTGCTCCCCTATAGTCAGGGCACACTGTTAGAGTATCCTGGTATATTGAGCCAGAGGGCTGGCAGAAGGGCACAGCACCTTGGCAGTTAAACTTTCCACTCTTCCTAAAGCTCTGAGCTGCAGAACAGAAAAGACGTGAAACACTGGAGCGTTCATTTACAGGATGTATTTATTACACTGTAAAAAGTCCATCGGATTTGTAGCCATTTACTCTATGTACACTTGCCCTACTCCCATCCCAACCGTAGGATCTTCTTAGTACAGTAGAAACCGGGTTGAAATCATGCCCATGCCCCTCCCAGTCACCAGTGAGATTTCTGAGACTGGTATTCTTGAACATTTAGCCAACTAATTCAGAGAGGAAGAAGAACTGAGATGCAGTGCTTGCCAGGCAGCCAGCTCTGCTCTGGGCACGAGGGGGTAGAAGAGAAGGACACCCTTAGTGCAAGGCAGAAGCAAAGGAAAGACTATCAGGGCTTCGGCTCCAGGCTGCGGGAGCGTTCTAGGTAGAGGAGGAGGTGGGCTCCCTGCAACTAGAAGATGCAGAAGGGGTACTAGTCCTGCATGAGCTCCCCCGAGAAAGGCTGCTCTTCAGCACAGCAGAGCTTGCCAGGCATCTATCAGCCAGTGCCACAGATCCCACAGCCTTCCCAAGCTAAAGAGGAATATATGGTCTCCTGAGGATGGAGGATACAGCCCTGGGGCTGGACACTAAGAGGCCAATGTAAAATGTGGTGGACAACATAGCACCGCTGTGCACCACACAGGGGGAGTAGCTCCCAAGCCCTGTTTGAGAGATGGCCATAGGGCTCTGCTCTCAGGGCTCTGCTCTCAGGTCTCTGCATTTTCTTCTCATCTGCTTAACTAGGCAGACCTGTCTGAATTTGCTCCCTCCACCCAGAAAGCCTGACTGTTTACAGGAGAAGGGAGGAGGACAGCGCTGCCCCTGCGAGGCTTCCCTACTCTCTGCCTCGCTACTAGATGGCTGTGATGCCTGTCCCAGGAGGAAATCATATGGCTACAGTGCACAAGAAGTCCTACATAGCAAGGTGGGAGCTGGACTGTTACTCATCCACATTTCTAGGCAAAATTCTCAACCTGCCGAACCCAGGCCTACCCAGAGCTCAAACAAAGCTGTGCAGTCAGAAGCATGGGCAGGAAAGCTAGGGAACGGCTTGGGATTTGTCTAGGGACTGGACTGAATAATCAGAGAGGCGGTCCGTACTGTAGCCCATCTCTAGCGTTACATCACAGAGTTTCCTCTCTTGACCAGATGAGGTGCTGGTGGCTTGGTCCCAGGCTGCTGCATGTGGGTACTGCCTGACCCCTGAGATTGTGAAGGCAAGGAGAAGACTGGTAAGTGGAACTGGGCAACCCTCCGAGAAGGCCGCAGCCAGGGGTTTCTGGGCAATTGCCACAAGAGGGGAGCAGATCCTGATATGCTCAAAGGGGATTGCAGCAACTGCCCTTTTGCTCAGGTTAGCATCATCTTCTAAAACAAACATGCCTGCTACTAGAGAACATTTGGCCAGCATCCTCCACCCACAGAGCTTCCTTAGCAGACAGTTCTCAGACACCCTCAAACTAATTGACTTCAGAAGTTGTCATGGGGTCAGTGGGCCGTGGAGTAGCTAGGAGTGGAACAGGAGAGGTGGCCTCTATTAGTGCTGGGTTGAGAATGATTGGCAGAGACATAGGTGGTACCCCAACCTGCAGGGGAGAGGCAAGCGGCTGCAGAATGAGTGGCGGCTGTGCTGTCGTAGGAGGTAAGTCTGTAACGGGACTTGTCTTCGCTGGAGCGGATGCCGAGAAAGAAGGAGAGACAGAGGTGCTAGTGGTGGGTGAGCTGGGTGCAGTGGCTCTCTCAGACTCTGGAAAAATATGGAGACAAAACAGATCCTTACGCAGGCCTCGACAAAGTCACCTTTAAGCTCTAAGCTAAGCAGGGCTGAAGACCAGCTCAGGGGCTTTACTCAGTTTCTCCCCTTCTACATACTTTCATACGAGGCTTCAAGAAGCAGGTGCCGATCAGACATTCTGCTCCAGCCTCTGCCCACCCAAATAACTTCAGCAAGAAAGCCAGAATCTGTCCATTTGCAAGCAGAACAGTTCCACAACACAACAGACCTAGACAGTGTAGATCACGCTAAACCAAGGAAAAGCAAATCCACACCACCCTGCTGGGATCATGCTTCCCGAAAGAAGAAAATGGGACTCACCACTGGCACCCAGTTCACAAGACTTCTCCAAAGGTGCCACGTGAGCGGCTGGTCTTACATCCCCTGCAGGAGAAGGGGGCAAGGCAGATGCTGTCGACTTCTGAGGATGCTGCTCCATTGGTACACTGGGGACTGGATCTAGAAAAACAAAACAAGCAGTTAGCCCATGAAGCAGTTTGCTCACCCCTTTTCCCCACCCTTAAGTTTGTCATTTTCACACCAAGCTCTCAGGGCCTCCTGCACCTATCATCTCACCAACATTCAGGTACTACTGCAGCTGGGCGCTGGAAAAAGTATAAGCACTGGGCCCAAAACCTGGTTCTGAAGGTTCATCAGCTCTCCATACCCTGGATAACTGTCTGCTTGAAGAGCTCATCTCGCAGTCTAGGTAAGAAGCAGTCAATCCGCTCCCAGGTGATTTCCCAGAGATCTGAGTATCCTGTCCGTGAGTCAGCACTATGGAATATCCCAGCTGTATCCATTACAAGCAGCATATTCTTCAGAGACTCTGGGATGGCCTCCAGCTGTAATCAGAGACACTCCTCAGGACACAGAGAGGGGACATATAGCAAAGAATAAGCACTCAAAACAGTGACCTTGGAAACAGAAGCCAAAGGGACAGACCATAGAACAAGTGGGTTTGGAAGGGAAAGGGTAAAAAAAACCTAAAAAAAAACCCAAAACCAAACCCTGAGAACAGTTGTTAAAAGCACTGCAGCATCACTTTCAGCACCTTACCAGTAAGTCACTGGAGCCAGCATGCATGTATTTGTCCATGAAGTCCAGGATTGTCAGCCACAGGGCAGCAAAGGTGGTCAGGGAGAGCAGCGGGGAGAGGTGCTGCAAGAACACCTAGAAAAGAGCACAACTGCTGTCAACAAGTAGCATCAGGGCTACTGCTCACAGAGCTCAACAGCCAGTCTTGCAAGCTTGGAACTCACCTTCCTTGACCAGCTAGAAGCATGCACAGGCCCAGCCTGAGATGGCAGATACTAACACTCCTCTGAGCTGCACATGCAAGAGCAGATCTCATCTCCTTTGCATGAGACCACTCAGGTCTGCATCACCACTTCTGCCAGTCCTTTCAGATCCACTGGCTTAGGGCTATACTATGGGCTTCTGACTTGCCTCATTTCACGACGAGAACCAACTATCTTCAACTAATGCTGGGTGAAATACTTATCTCCATCCTTCAAAAGTCACAAACTCCTTCCTGACAACATTTCTTAGAGCCAGCCTCAGGGAGACAGTTCTGGAAAGAAGGCATGTCCTGGCAGTAGAGAAGCCAGGCACTGAAGGCAATCAGACTAGCAAACTGACACCTACACAGATCAGAGCTGCCAAGAAGCTAATACAGCGACCAGTTTGGTCGTCTTGATGCACATGGTCTCCCCCAAGCTTGTAGGCAACAGGAGCATGCTCACCTTGGAAAGCAGCGTTGAGGCTCTCATCCTGGTCTCTTCCATCCCTCCAACATCAGCTGGGCTGATATTCTCAAGGAGCTTCGTTAGCAGAGGGAACAGCACCTGTTGGATCATTGACATTGATGTGTCATGGGAACGATGGTATTTACATTGGCAGCATTACAGAAAGGAGATGGCTTTTGGGACTTGTTTCTAGACAGAAACGGGAGAAGCAGTGTGAAGTGGAAATAAGTGGATTCATTTCAATCCTCCAAGAGACTTTGTCAGAAGCCTATCCAGAGCAGAGCTTTCAACAGAAACAGAGTTGGGAAAGCCTTGTCCCTTGAGGTTAACAGGCAGCTGCCCAAGAAGGCAGCGCTGCATCAGGACACCATTCTGCCACTCCCGCGTATAGCATTGCTCTTCAGGACACTGCTCTCCTGCCCACATGCCCAGCCCAGCCATGAGGTTACCTTGTTGAAGCAGGACTCCCACTCCAGGGCATCCAGTGCCTGCAGGTCATGCACCAGGAGGGCTCGCTGCAAGTAAGTGAGAGCCTGCATCCGCACTTGGCGTCGGGCATCACAGCACAGCCAGGCAATACCTGCAAGAGAAGCATTCAGGGCAGAGCCCACAGGGAAGGTGCACACCCCCTCCTCTCCCTGTCAGGAAAGAGTCACCTGGTACCACAACAATAAAAACCACCACCACGATGCTCCCAACCTAGGGTGAAGAGGCTAATGAAGACCAAACGCTCTCTGTAGAAAAAAAAAAAAGAATTATACTTGTTCCAGGCCACAGATTGGGAATCTACTGTGAGGTCCAGGAAGAAACTGGTAGCTAACTCATGGTAAAGACAGCTTTCTGAATCACACCTAAGTCCTTTTTCAATTACAGCAGACCCTAAAAACAACCTCCTCCTGCTTTCTGCAGTTAGTCTTTGGCTCCTCAACTGTCCTTAGCGCTGCCCTTATCCTGAAGTCTCTCTTCTCACTCTCATCACAAGAGGTGGCTTTACCCTGTAGCAAAGGGCACCAGCAGTTGGACCACAGTGTTCGGGAATCTGCTTCAATTTTCCTCCCTGTAGACTCCAGATGGCGTTGCTCCTCTGCCCAGGAGCTGTAGATGGTGGCTGCTCGAGTGTGCAAGGTGTGCATGAGGTCCAGGAGCTGCAAGTCAAGCATCACATTAAGCAACACACAGGACTTGAGCTCTTAAAGCAAACCTGGTCTCTGTTCTCCCCCAAACAAAGGCTAGAAGGCTCCTAGCAATTCAGCCAGGCTTTTCTCACATCCATGCATAGCTAAGGGACTGCTGTCAGGTCCTGCTGTCTGTGTGCTCCCTAAGTAGAAAAGGGCCAGGCACCTTCAGAGAAATCTGTGTCAAGCAGTAGCTGCGTCAACCCCATCTTCTAGAAACAGCATCACAGGGCTGCTGAGTGAGAAAGAATGGAGCCATTCCCTGCACAGACCATCAGCTCTCCCAGGTTGAGGGAGAAAACCAGTGATTTAGCTATGTATCCAGGGACAACCTCCCTGCCTTTCTTTTTTTTTTTTTTTTTAAATTAAAGCACAAAGCACAGGCAAAGTGCTCTCAGCACAGCTCTGTGCAGATGAACATCAGCATTCTAGTAACTTTACTACTGAACTGAGGCTCAACAGCCTGACACTCAGCAAGCCTGCACCCACAACCCTGAGAAGACCCAACTAGAGAGAAGTGATACCATCACCCCAGTCCTCTGTACTTGAAATCCCACTCCCATCTCACCTTCTGCAGTGACTTACCGTTCCAGACACCCACCCACCTGGTTTGTCAGAAGACTCCTCCCCCCACTGCTCTTCTGCTTCCTCCTGTCCAAATCATATTCTTCCTCACTTGCTCCCAGAAGCAGACAGTGTCACGAGACCCACCCTTTGCCACCCAGCAGCCACTAATCCAGGATGCAGCCTCCCCTCCCACCATGGAGAATCCCAATGATTCCCTAGCAAGGCCCCGAGCACGGGAAAGGAGAGGAGGAAATCCTTGCTATACTTACGTCCTGACTAACCTGTAAAGACACAGTGTGGTAGCTGGCAGGACTGCTCTCCTCCTCGTCCTCCTCCCTGTGTGCCTGGTGTTGGCTCGAGGCCCGCGATCGCCGCATGGAGCTCTCCTTTGGCTTTTTTTTTAACCGGCTGGATTTACTGTCATACCTGTGGCTCTTCCCCCTCTTCTCTTGGGACTTATAGCCTAGGAAGTGAAAGGCAGAAACATATCACATACACATTCCACCACAAAATGTTCTGCCTTTCAGCCCACACAGCAGTCACCTTCTGATATCCCTAATGGAGGGCCCTGTCCTGTAAAGTGACAGCTATCCACTTGAAGATGTGCCCAGAACCCCTCAGAATCGCCTTCAGCAAAAACAGGAAATCATGATTCCTGCTTATACAGCTACCTCTGTGTCAACCCCAGGTCTCCCCTCCATTTCAGAGACAGGGATAAGAATAAGGTCCCTCCTGCTAGCAGGGGTCAGAACATTATTCTCACAGGAGACTATTTTCTGGAGATGGAGGACTCATTCCCTGGCAGTATACTTCACACATCTCTGCTTGCTGCCTGGCCCTAATCTCAGTCGTCAAACCAAGGGCCACCTCACCCCCATTCAAGCTCGCCTCCACAAAGATGCGGATGGTTTTGACACAGAGCTCGAAGTTCTCAGGTGTCACATGGGCAGCATCTCTCACGATGAAGGAAAGGGACTCCACGCACTTCATGAGAGACTTTGTATCATGAGGGCCTAGATCCAGCCCCACAGTCAGGCTGTACTGGTTGACGAGAGGAGACGGCCCCAGCCTATTCAGTCCAGCACTGGGTCTGGAGGTGTCGATGTCATCCTTCCCCACCTGCAAGGCAGAGCAAGAGGGTGGCAGGACAGGACAGTGTAACAAGCAGCACATCATGCACATGCTGGAGGGCCTTTCTTCTGAAACCAACAGGTGATACTGCTTTAGTAGAACCCATTTCCTTTTCATCCATACTTGCCTCCTAGCCTTCCACTCTCCATCTGCATCTCTTCCCCATCCTCCCTTTACACCGTCAGCTCATCTGAGCTCTCTTTTACTGCCTTATTTTTTTTTTTCCCCTACCAAATCCTCTTCCCACACCCACACTAGGAGTAGTCTATTTCAGGCACCAGAGGCCCATCCGTTACTCACCACTAGCCAGCCACTGTTCACCATATCCACATCTGTCACTGAGCGATGCATCTTGCCTTGCTTCCCATGGTCTGTGTAGACCTCCGAATCAGAGGTGTAGCCACGGTCCAGGCTCATATCACTTGGATGGTAGGAGGAGGAGACCTCACTGTCCGACTGAGCACCTTCAAGACACAAGGCATGGGTTTAAGACCAAAGCCAAATGAAGGTGAGGAGCTGTGGGAATAATGGAGAACCAATCCAGGTCAGTCAGATCAGAGTCAGCTGAGAATTACCAGTGGGTGATGGAAGAAACTGGGCCAGGCCTCTCCTCCTGGGAGAGGAAGAGTAACTATCACAGCAGAACGCACAGAAGATGGCAAGAAACACAGACCTTTGGCACTGTTTTATCCCATGAGGTATGTTTGGCTATCCCCTTTTAGGGGGAAGGGGGATACCGTCCTCTGCCATGTCACTTGTCAGCCTGACTAGATTTTAAACAGCAGAAAGTCCAATGCTTTGACGGTGGTGGAAGAATCAGATATACTACACACTTTAAGAACTACTGGAGGTCCTTGGTTGAACCAGGGCAACTCCAAAAGTGCAACACAGAATGACATGAGTTAGATGGGGCCTCTGAGGTTACTCAGGCAACTCCACACTAAAACTGGTACAGTCCTTCTCATGAACAACAATCAACATTAGCATGTTTCACATCTGTCATGTCTCCCTTCCCTGAACTTTAGGGTAACCTTAAATTTCATATGTCCCTTGCAGAGAAATCCCTTCAAGGGACAAATTTAAGCCACTGATATAATTGATTTAGAAACAACAAATTTATTCTCTCCAAGATTCAACATTATCTAGAAACTCAGGAGAACAAAGACTTGCTGTGAGCACAGCACACCAAACATTTTCAGAAGAAGGCGATAAGAAATAACGTTCTGATTCTGCAAGGTGCCACAGTCAAGTAGTTTGTTCAAGCAGCAAAGATAGAAGCAGTAAAAAAGAGCTGAGAGAAAACAGCCCAGCATTAGACTGAGAAAGCAAAGGCCATATGGGTTTGACCTTCCCAGTTTTGCAAGATCAGGTTTCCGCAAGCTAGCTAGCATGAAGCACGAGGACCTAGCAAGCAAGATCTAGAGAAGCAGAGAGAAAAATGAAGTCCTCTAGAAAAGTCTTTTTGCCGTTTCCTTTTAGAAGTCTGAAGCTGCCAACCTCAACCAGCTGGCTGAAGGGGAACATGAACAGAGTTCGCTGAAAGGACAGTCTTCTAACACAGTCAAGAGAAGTGGGAAATAGTGGGCTGGTCTTCGAAGAATGGCTCAGGCACTCTAAACACAAATGGATTTGAAAAGAAAAGTTTAAAGAACAACTCCCAGTATAAGATCCTTAAAAAGGGGATAGAAAGGAGTCAGTCTCACAGGAGAAGCAAGCATGACAGAAACAACAGCTGGGTTTACATTACACACCCAGATGAGAGATTAAGGCTGTATTACCCAAGGCACCAGACCACAACCACCAGAAAACACTCTCTAGGCAGAGCAAAGACCTTCTACAGCTGCTACAACTGATATCAGTTTTCCTCCCACTGCTCCCCCAGGGACTAGCACCTGGAGTGCTGCTCAGGGAATAGGAAGAGATGGCAGAGTAGAGACAGGGACAGATTGGGGGGAATGAGTGAACAGCAGGTGCTGGTCTTTAATCCTGCTAATGTAGTTTAATATCAGCTTTGTTTTCTTGCAGTCCCCTTTGCTAATTGAAAAGCTCGAGGAAGCAGCTGCTTATCTGGCAGGCAGGGCATCAGATTTCCTAGCAAAAGCTGGCCTGTCTTACCTGTGTCATTATCTGCCCTTGCTGTAACCTGCAGGGCTGCAGGAGGCTTCACCCCAGACCCAATACACTCCAGGAGGGTGAAGAGTGTGTACCAGTCATCCCCAGCGTGAATGTTGGCAGCATTGGTCTTCAGGAGTTCATGGAGGCCGTAGGCAACCTCATGGCTAACTCTGGAAAGCACATTTGGCTTCATCATCAGCAGGATACGTAATGAGAGGAGAACCTGGCCAGGGAGGGAGACAGCAAGAATAACAGACCCTATTTATGCTCCATTCACCAAAGTCTTCCTCATTTATTTAATGCTATTTACAACTGCTGTTTGGTTGTCACCTGCAGCGGAGAGGTTAAATGTGGGTCCGTACAACAGCAATCGGTTTCCTGGGTTGCCAAGCGTAGCCACAAAAAACAGTGACTGTCCTTTGTAAATCCCTTACCTGTGCACTGATTTCTTCCCGACGAAGGAGCCGAATCACCAGTCTCAGCAGCCCCACCACTGCCCTCTCCACCAGGAAGCAGAACTCCACAGCATGAACGCAGAGATGATAGAGGTGGTCTCGAACAGTCTGCCATACACAGGTCACACGGTCCCTAGCCACAGCAAGGAGGGGGGAAAGGGCAGGATGAAAGGAGATGAGACAAGCAGGATCCAGCTACCTCTTCCCGAACTACAGACAACCTAGTATTTCATCACTTCAGTGAAAAGCTCAAGCGGGGATATATAATAGCAGACAAAATTAACAAGGCCCACAAGTTTCTTATTTACTTCATTATTCACAAAGCAACCAGCTGGGAGAACCCATTCTCCCTCTAGAGTTTAGTTGGTGTTCTCCAAATCTCAGGGTATCAAGCAATAATTCATAGGTGAATAGTCTCTCTGTTTACACATGCTGGAGTGGAATTGTTAAGCCCTGAAATTACAACCACATGCTGCTTAAGCTGGCAAAGCAAGCACATAAGGAACTTGCTCCCTGGACCTAGGAAGCAGCTGCAGCAAAGCAGAGACATTCACAGGGAATCTGCATGTATTTTGAGGCCCTACCTGTTCTCCAGCACAATCCGCAGAAGCATCTCCAAGCAGAAGGCAGCATCCTCTTCATCATATGTCTCCTCATCAGGAGTCACAGAGATTAGGGCCTAGAAAAGCCAGGAACGAATTGTGACCCACAAACCCCCAAAACTGTCAGTGAGGTCCAACAGCGTGCTGTGAGTCTGAGTAAAACTGCACTCCAGTGCCTGAGGAGGTCATGTGTGGTCTATCAAAAATGCATTGGAAGCCAGGTGCTAAGATAAACATATGGAAAATTATACTTTTTATTACGCAAGCTACATTATGAACTTAAGATGTTAAACTGCGATGAAGTCTCTCTTTTGGAGAGGAATCCTGAAGCCCAGCAGCTTCTTACTAACAAAATATGAAGTAAAAAAAAAGGCAGGCATAACCAGGAAGAACTACAAATATTGGAAGTGTTCCTCTCAAGCCATCAGCTCATAGATGAAGTAAGGGAGGCATAACAGGGGTCAGAGCAAAATGTCCATCCAAAATTGAGATGGCAGGGATGGCATATGCAAATGGAGTCAATACTTCTCCAGGTAAGCCAGCAACGTAAGGTCTTTGTGTGAGCTAAGCGGCAAGTTCTAGCTTAGCTGTTCAAATCATTGTTCTTTGGGGTTTACTCACTTGTAATCTTTATCCTGAAACTCGATACCTACTCTTCTGAACCTCTGTAGTAAGCCTTGGTAAATAAACCTTTCCCGTGTTTTAGCAAAAGTCTTAATAATGTCACAGGCCCAGACGAACTATGATAAAGCCAGTGAATTGAAACTACAAGGGCCTGGAGGAAAAGACACTCGGGCTTTGAGATGCTATGAAATTAGACAGCGCACACTGCCAACTCGCACAACATCACTGAAAGGGTTACACTGCACTATTGGCTTTCAGAAGTGGTTTCCCTGCTACACACCAACAAACTTTCAGTGAGCAGCTGGCAGAGATCCATACCACAGCCCGGAGAGTCTCAAACTCCACACTGGCCTGAAGAGCCACCACCAGTACCACCTTAGTAACCATCCTTTCCCAGGGAGATGAGTTTCTCTAACCTAAAGGCTAGCGAGTCCAGCTTTATTATACAGCAGACAGGTATCACACTACCTAGAAGAACAGGGACAAATACTTCTGCACGACTCCTACATCTAATGCCTCATTAGGCATCTAATGCCTCATTAGGCATTTTTTTCCAATGCCTCATTAGGCATACGGCACACCAGAAAAGGTGAAAAGCACAACGTACAACTTAAGCTCCTACCCAGAGCTACAAATATTTTCAGACACTTACCCTGACCTCCCTAAGTCCTTTAGGATGTGTTCCACAAATTAATGTTTTTCTCTGCTACCCAAAGCAATGGTGGCTTCCTGCACAGAAGTTACACATAACAGCTGAACTGGCCGGCTTCAAATACTGAGCAAGTGCAAGACCTCCTTTGAGGACAGAGGAGCTAGGCAAATACATGGCACATATCCATGACCACGCACAGCATACCTTTCCCATCACCAGTCCTGTCCCTTGCCCAGTATCTCTCACCTTCATGAGCTCCTGGAGGGACTCGAGTTGGAGGAACTTGCTTTCTGTGATCAACTTCTCAGGATCACATTGCTGCAAAAGACAGAAAAGAGGACTGTGTGTTTGGGGGTGGGAAAGGCATATGTACAGATCCTTCCAGAATCACAGCTTGTTTCCAGGGAAGCACAGAGTGTGGCTTCAACATTATAACCTGGAGGAAAACTCCTGCCAGCTAGTTCACTCAGTTAGCCCTAACAGACTTGATCTGTGCTAAACAGACTTTAACAGAAAGCTCCCTGTCCCTCAGAAAGGGCCCATATGCCCATAGACTGAGGCAGAGCCACACAGCACTGTTACCATGTACAAAAGCAGATTCTTCTATGGCCTATGCACTACCTTTATGCACTCCAGAGCTGTTCGCTTTGCCTCCTGCGTCTCTGTAGATGGCCCTCTCATACCAGATTGTTCTGTGCCACTGAGGGTGAGCCAACTAACAAAACTCAGCACTGTAGATTCACCACTGCAATCAGAAGACACCAGCATCAGTGAGACAACAGTCATAGATTTTGTTATCCAGCATTTGGAGGCGGGGGGGCTGGAAGCACCTGCCTGGGCCATCTGCACCACTCACCGGTTAGATGGTGTCTCCTCTCGCTGCAGAGAGATTTTGCCATTGGGATCCACAAAGTCTTCGACCTTGAAGATATATCAGAACACATATATGTTCACCTGCCTACTTCTTTGTAGCCTGTTTTCGTTGTGCCTGTAACGTTTCACTTAACACTGAAACACTATACCCAACTTCACATGTATTGTCAACCAACTCCAGGCTCTTCACACATACACACACACCCTCCCCTCCTTTTCATCAAGTGTGCCTCCTGTTTGGCAATGCCAATGCTGTACTCTTATCACTTTATACCTATGTCACATGCCTTTTGTGCACAACAGTCAACATCTGCTAAAATAAAATGAACGCTGGAATTTCTCAAACCCCATAAAAACAAGAAAAAATGAACCCCGTGAAAGAAGCTGGAGCCTGCAGGTAACTCGAGTGCTCAGCCCCTTGCCGGCACTCTTGCTCTGTACACGCTCTATCAAAGCCAGGCCTCTGCACGAGAACTCTCTGTCCCTTTGGGCTGGTCCTCTGCAAGGTCAGCTTCCCACTCCCCGTCTTCAATTAGCCATGAGCTGGCTGTTATTACCTCCACCATGGCCTTGGGCAGCAGCTCTGCTCGGAAAAGCTGTAGCATGGCCTCCATGATGTTTTTCCAGCCCTCCCGCAGAATGTCACCGTGGCGTTGGGCCAAGTGAAACACAGTCTTCGCCGCAATATGGGCCTTGGGATTACTTCCAAAAACAGTGGGCAGGTTCTCAATAGACTGCAGGAAAGAAAAAGGGGTAGCAGTTAGTCAGCAAGAGATGTTTCTTTTTCAACACAAATTAGGGCAGACTGTTCAGAATTGGTTATGGGAAGGACAACAACTCTGCGTACAACACTGTGGATAACTCCTCAGTTCATACTTGCTTTGCAGAAAAACGAAGACAAGGTGGCTTACATGATACAAGCTGAATCACAGAGACCTAGATGTAGCTCACCAAGAACGACAACGATACAGAGCGTTTTGAAAGTACTTGCTGAAATCTTGCTAACACTAATTTACTGTGCTAAGAAAACCCTTTTCAGGATCAAAGCCTTCTACAAAAGACTTTTTTCAGTACCACAGCTCCTCTGGGAGGCAATTATTCCACACTACCATTAGAGATGAAAACTATAGCAGAAACTATTAGTAACTTACAAAGCTATTCTCACCACCAGCTAAAAGCCAGGTTCAAAGCATTAGTGATGAATCCTGACATGCAGTCTCTACCAACAATTGCTGGACCACAGTTCCTCCATAACTTGTTCAATATACCCACAGCTTTTCAAAATACAAAAAGCATACTAAAACATTTAAACTAACCAAATACATGCTGCCAAAAAAAACACCCAAAACAAACAAAAAACCCCAGAAACCATGTGAACTAGTATCAGACAGCATAATAAGTTCCCTATTTCTGCAGAGTTACTTAAGCTCATTGCAATGTTCTTTTTGATAAGAGATGGATTTTGCTATTCTATGGCTTATGTGGACAAAACCCACACCTATTTCCTTCGTTAAAAAAAGGAGAGAGAAGACAAAAGACGGGATGGATCGGAAACGTGTCTCTTCAAATCTCAGATCTGAAGGGCAGAAAATAGATGTGTCCCATCCTGCAATTCCTTCACTCAATAGCTATCGTGTAAACTAGCTCTTGCTTCAGCCAGACTGCTGGCAGAGCTAGGATCAAAATGGGTCTTTGATCTAGAGGTGAAATACATTAGAAGTGCCAGGCCGGAAGCTTGCCAGAAATGTGACAACCAATTTGTTTTTTCCCCATTGTTGCTATGGGGAAACCACACGAACATATATATCGCTGGACTCTCAACGTGCAAATAGCAATATCCCTAGTTTTGCAGCGTGGCAACAAGCTACAACAACCAGCATCAGAACACACAGGCCTTTTGCTACTACTTATACAGAGTCAATCCAGATCTTAACTTTGAATCAAGAATCAATGCACTTGCCCTTCTTAAACCTGTTAACTGTCTTCATATTCCTTCCCACTCCTCCTCTTTCAGTCAAAGTGGCCATGCATAACAATTGCAGTGCTCAGAGAGGAGACCTGAACACTGGGATGATCTAACTTAGGAAGGGACTAGCAGCTAAGTGACACTATGATGTCCTTCCTTTGCTTTCTAGCAGTTGCTCTTTGTTTTGTCTCCTCAGCCCCTAAGGACAACCCTTCCTTCTCCCCTTCCACCAGACTATGTCTCAAATATTTGTGCAGTTGTCATAGTCTTGGAGATACTCAAAAGCCATGTGGATAGGGTCCTGGGCCACGTGTTTGAGGTGACCCTGCTTGAGCAGGGGGGATTGCACGAGATGATCTCCAGAGGTGCCTTCCAACCTCAACCGTTCTGAGATTCTGTGATTCCTCTACTGTCTCCAAGCCTTATGTTCTGCTGCCGTAAATTGCTGTAATTGATGTAGCTGGAATCCAGCCAAAGATAAGAACTGTTCACATCCAGAAGTCCCTGATTCTACATCATCACCAAGAGACATACTTGCTTAATTTACACAGACCTAAGACTTGCTCCAGATTCCAGTCTCATAACTAAATGGGATGCAGCTGGCAATAGCCGGTGCCTCTGAGGGCTTAGTCTAGTTGTTTGACAGAGATTTATATGGAAGAAGCAGTTGTTTCAGGCAGACATTCCTCTGCTTGTATTATCTATTGGTAGTCTCAAAATCTGGTATGCCTGGAGAGGATCAAGTATTTTATCTTTACTGTTGTAAGCTGTGGAGGAAGAAGGAATCTAAAGTAAGCCCATCATTTGGGATTTCTTTGTCTTTTACTAGCCTGACTACCCAGGTACTCTTTCGCTGCTACCAGTGCCAGGACGCAAGTGACATAAAACATCCAGTCCAGACAGTTCAACTGCCCTGTAGAAAGAATTTATGGTTTTAGAGTGGCCTAATTCTGTTAACTGGATTAATTCACAGGAACGTTTCTCACCTTCTTCTACGGGATTTCAAAAATCACTTGTCTTGATTTTTTTACTCCCATGCTTTACGTCTGGAATGATCTTGTTTCCCTTTTTATACGATTTAACGCTATTTTGCTCACTATGGGTCTTGTGTAGCTTCTCAGAATAATACTGTGGGGTTCTCAGCAAGTTCTGACCTTTGAAAGGAGTTGCTTTTTCTTCCTAGCTCACAGCATTGATCTGCCACTATCTATCAAACACTTTACAGAAAACAGGCTGATACTGCACCACATAAACAGACGTGGGAAAAAAAGCTTACACCAATGACTGTATGATGAATTTAGTTTCACAGTACAATTCACAGAAATAGTCTTGAGCGCTTGGCCAAAGTTGGGCCACCTCGGCTGATCTTATCATCAGACTCTAGGCTCTGGACAACAAGTGACAATTCAGAGCATTTGTTTTTTCTAATCCCTTTCTGCCGGGTAGATGCACAGTCCCTACGCTTTGGAAGATCAGGTCACAAAACAGCCCCTCTTGACGCTGCACAGGCTCTATAATTAAATGTCTAAGAGCTGAAACGCATAATCTTGTTTGGGGCTGTGGACGATCACTATCTTGATCACAGAGAGATTTAAGTTTCCTGAGATCAAGTAAGCAGAATACACACTTCCACATCATGGTATTCTGCTCTGCACAAGCTGGCACCTGTGCAATAGGTAGAAGGAAATTCGTGTATTTAAACCTATATTATGAAGTCCTACTTTACTACATACTCTTTCTTTACCTCCCCAGAAAACTCTGGGCGAGTGGGATAGATATTCACAGCTATTGTGATAACTAAATAAACAAATATGACTGCACAATAGAGAGGAAGAGAGCTCCAATACGCTAGAAGCCACGCTTCTTTCCCCTCCATGCAATCTTACCTCGCTGCTGAGGGCTGTAAACTTGCAGAGAGAAATTATGAGATTGTCAAATACATCACTCAGGCCATAGTGAGCGGAAATCATTGCACAATTCCTGGGGGAAGAAGAAAACGAGGAACAACGTAACAGCACAGCACAGGCACTTCTCTCTGCAGAACAGCAAGTCAGATAGCCACTTGGGTTTCAGACCTTCCTCTCCACCTCCTCATAATGAATGTACAGCACTTTCCCCTCAGGCCATCACAATCCTCATCATCAGATCCACTGAGATCCCGGAACCTTAATATTTGTCTGTGCTTATTCAGGGATCACTTTCAAGAAGAAAAGTCCAGACAGGCCTCTTGCAGCTGAGTCAGTATCCTTGATTTCATGTCTTCACATAAAGGAGAGTTCCTAAGCTTGGCAGTAGTGCTGAAGTTCTAGTTTTTAAGAGATCCTGGCTACAGGAGTATATTAAAGGAGTTTTAAAACTATGCTTAAAGGTATGTTTTGGTCTGAATCCAAGCATGACCCAAAGATCATTCCAATGAGGTTTCTAATAGGTAGCAAGATTTCTGCTATGGCCCCACAGATGAGAGGTTTTGCTGATATATAGGGATTCTGCCAGTATCACTGTGCCAGTTAAAAGAGATTTTTCCTCCCCCTCACTTCTAAGCAGCACAGCTATGTCAGCAGGTCTTTTAAATGTAATCAGGTTGGAGTTTAAAAATATATACCACCAGCACTTTTATTTATTACAATGTAGCTGTCAAGTTGAACAGTGAGTGGCACCAAGAGAGGCCCTAGATGAAATGAATCACTAGAAATACTAGAACAAAACCAGAGGACTGTAGGTCACAAGAAAACGCCCTTCAGCTGTAGGAAAAGTAAAGGCTGATATTCACTGTGATCTCTCTAGCAGGCAGACATGATACACCAGCCAGACTGAAGCCCTTCTGGGCCTCATGAATGTGAGAGAATTACCTGAAACCAGAGATAGCCTTCTGGATGATTGTTTCTTCTAAGCTCTTGTCAAAAACATAGGAAAGGGCTGCAATGGTTGGCCCCCATGTCATGGTAAAGAGATCATGGTCATAGCTTCCAGAAGGCACATGGAGAAATATTCCCTCATCAGTAGCACCACGATGTAGCAGGACATTCCAGATATAATTTTCCTTCACCAGGCCTGTCTGTTCTTCTGGCATCACTATCTCATCGTTTCTACCAGAAAGGAATGCAGAAAGGTTAGATTATTCATTCTGAGCCAAACCTAACAATTAGACAATACCTTTCACAAGACAGTCCTAAGTGTAAGCGATACCTAATCTGGAGTCACTTTGCCAGCTCCTGAAACATTCTGCCTTCCCAGGCCTGGCCAGCCTCTCTTGCCCCTCTCTGACACCTTGGCTATGGAGTACAGTGGCTACCAGCAGCACCCAGCAGCAACTGAGTAGGACTGGTAGTGAAGAAGCAGCTATCTAAAACTACAGGTGAAAAGTGTACATGTACATACATTATGTACATACATACTGTACATACTTAACACATACTGCAGTTAAATGATGGGAAATTTTGAACAGAACACCAGCATAGTAGCATTAGATATTCTTCTTCACTCCCCCATGCCTTGTGTTGTTGGAACACTCTGCATATCCCATCACCACCAGACAAAAATTAAATTATACCACTGCAGTGAGACTAGACATGAGTAACTGGATAAGAACAAGGTAAATATTTTAACTATGTCAAAAATCAAGCTCCATAAATCCAAGAAGTACAAAATTAAAGCTATAACTAGAAACTAAATGTATGATGGATAATTCATAACTAGAGTACCACAACCCCATACTCTTACTGGATTGAAGCCCTGCAGTAATAAAACAACTATGAGTAATGCATAGTAGTATTTGCATCCCCAGGCTAAAAATATATTTAAGCCTAAATACATACTCCCCTACCCGTGGGGCACTGCTTAAAACATAACCTTCTCCAAACAACCAACTAATCGAGGACAGTCTCAGATCTACTAAGAAGAGTATATGGCAGCCAACTTGAAAAGTAGACCTCCTTCTGCAACAATCTGAAAAAATAATTTATTTCAATGGCCAAGGAAGCAAAATTCACATATTAACAATAACTATAAAAAAGAAACTTAGCTTGTTTCTTATGCATAAACCATCTCAGTTGCAGCTGCATGCTTATTTTGACAAGAGCAATCATTACTGAAATTACATAGGAAAACGTGTTCACCGTCAGTAATACTTCTGTTAATATTAATCAAAAATAGTTTCTTGGAAAAAAATACGTGAATGGGTTTACTTGGAAAGTCTCAAAAAACAAATTCTGTGCAAAAAACTGAAATGCTGAGATTCTGAAGAGATCGTGCACTGTTCAGTACGGATTACAGTCTGGATTGTTTTTCCTGATCACACGAGGAAAACTATCTCTCAATCTCAAATTTGACACTGAGGCTTTCTCTGAAATGGCGCAAAACCAAAATGGTACACCAGCTGCCTTAGCTGCTGAACGCACTGAAAAAACTGAATTATCCAGCTGCCTTAGCTGCTGAACACACTGAAAAAACTGAATTATCTGGTGAAGGGAGAGGAGAGGGGAATAGATTGAGTCAGAGGCACTAGACAGCTGAAAGATATACAAATATTCTCAGGATAATACTTAAAACATTAAGAATGCCCTCGGGGAGAGAGCAATCAAAACTAGAGCTCTAGTCGAAAGTCAGAGCCATGTCTCAAAGAACTTCTAGATACTCAGTACACGCAGCATCCTCCTCTTCTTTCTGGAGGAGATTCAAAAAGGAGGCCTAGTCTAACCATTCTGCCCCTCTTCGTGACAGAGCCACTGCCTGCAACGCTGTACTGAAACCAGCTGAGAGTCCAAATCACACGTCCTGCCTCTTCAGAGATGCAATCCTCTCAGCTTCAGACTGGCTGGGCCTGGATTTACTGTGACAGGATAGATTTCTGACCTATTAAAGCTCCAGAACTAGTCTGTTAACAAAAGGGCCTCAGCCACCAGGAATTCTCCCCAAATATTGGTCCATGTGCTAAGAGCTTCAGGGCTGGGAGAAGATACTGCGAGCAGACAGCAGCCTCATATGAAGAGCCCAGAAGCAGAAACTCAGACCAGGACATGTTATGTCAGGGCACCAGTGCTGTCCTGGGGGTGCAATGCTATCTTTGGCACTACATACAAAGTTCTAAAGAAGTCTAAAAGCCTGGCCTGGAGGAGAAAGGCTTCTTAGTTACAGCATCTCACATGTGCTGCTCTTGCTCTGCCATTCTTTGCATGTTTAGATAAAGTCATGTTTTTTTTTTCAACTTCAGTTTAAGCTCTGTGGATAAAAATACCATGGCAAGAATCCAAAGATACAAATCCAGTGCAATCACTTTGACAGGCTTGTTCCAGTCCTTATGGAGCTGGAAGGTAGTCTGAAGCAAACTGGTACATGACTGCTCTCTCAGTATTCTTCAGAGCTCTTACACACCAAACAGCTCTAGTTTGTTCTCTGCAAACAAGGAGGCAATGACAGGTCAATTCTTACTTGATGGCATGGTACATGTCTTCCAGTATGTCCTGTTCAAAGTCTTTGCCTCCATTCACGCCCTTCAGATTCTTCCGAAACTCCTGAAAAAATTACAGTTAACACCAAGGTAACTCTCTTAACAGCTCCAGCTTTCAGTGCTTGGCTCTAGTCAGTACTCCACTTGCTCTTCACGGGACCCAGAGGCAGATTTCCCTGTGTTTCTCAATGTGCAGCTTCACACACGATTGTTAGTGGCACGGAAGCGTGCAGCAATCCTTCCTTTTGCTCGTAAGGAAAGAACAGAGGTAACACTACACATGCTTAGCTCAGGCTGGACATCAGGACACATCTGTACCAGAGCATTAACACTAGCAGAACTTGAACTCAAATTACCCAGTGGTTCAACAACCCTTCTCCCAGTAATCGATCTTCTCACCCTTACTATGACTTATGATCTGGTTTGTTCACACACACTGGAGCCTCTTCGCTAACCTGGCAAGTTATCTGCTAGCTTGCACTTCTTCAGACTGCCCCTTTTCCCGCATCCAACTATTCCACTATCTCCAACTATACTCAATTCTAGTACTGCACACCAACTTATTTTATACAACAGAGATGAATGACAGGGAAAAACAAAAGAGAAAATGTCACTAATAAAAAAAGCAGCTACTACCACTATCAAAACCAAAGAAGAAAAGTGCCCACGCTCGTAACACCCACCTCCAGAGTCATTGGGACATTCTGCTTGCGGACATTATGGTTGTGCTGGTCAGTGTTCAGCATAATAACGGCATAGGCCAGGGCAAAGCAGGCATCACTGTTAGCAAACGGGGACCCGTTTGATTTCTGAAAAGTAAATGTAAACATAAATCAGTCCTACAGGAACAGGGATATCTGTGATCTAAGAGAACCGCTTTCCTTCTGCACTACTGAATCGTCTCTTGGACTAACAAAAAAACTCCAGGCTCCAGCTCCAGTTTTCAAAAAGCACCCTGGAAACCCATGTGCTACCTCCTACAAAACAGCTGCTGCCTGCAGGATACTGCAAGCGTATACAGACAGTTTGATCTGACATGCACATCATGGCAAGCAGATGCATAGGAAAGAAGATGGTCTTAGAGCCTGTCTTCCCACCAAGTACACACCCGCCAATGCTCTGTGAAGGCTTCCAACAGCCTCTGGATTACAGGTGCCTCTCCTGGTAATCTGAAGGCCTCTAGATAAAGTCGTAAAGCTTCATCCAGCCTTAAACCTTGGAAGCTGAAAGTCCTGCAAGAAGAATGAAAAAGAAATGAGAAACTGAAACAGGATGTGAAAGGTAGGAGAAACTTACTGACTGCACTCCTATCTGGTTCACCATCAGAATGACAGACTTCACAGAGGACAGACAGTAGAGAGGTGAGGGTGAGGAAAGAAGAAATATATCATGTACAACAGGCAGAAGCAATAAAACAGAGCCAAGAGTCATACAGCTGATGATGTCTGTAATCATCGCTGCAACCTTCGCAGACACTGGAACTACAGAAAGAAGCTTTGGTACCATATTGCCATGTGTATCTAAGGTGCAAACTGTACGCAAGAGATGCACAGTATTAAGATGTGCTGGTACACAGAGAAACAAGCAATATAGATTCCATGGCTCCAGGAGCTGCTGTTCTACGCCATTTTAATGCATTACTGAACTCTTGAACTTGCACCCCTTTCTGATTAAAGGGGTGCAGAAAGATACTCACCCCACAAAGCTCTCCAGCAAGTCTATGTTCTTACGGTCACTCACAAATTCCCCAATCATCTTCTTGTCCAGGCGAGGATTTTCCCGTAGCCACCTGGCCACCTCGTTGTTGTCGATAGGGGTGGCGAGAAGGTTCTTCTCCTGCAGAAACTGTATCCCTTTCTTTGGCTTTTGGTTGAACTGCTCTGTGCCAGTTATCAGGAGCTGGAGGAGACATTCTGATAATTATAATTTTGAAAAGGGGCATTAAGATTGCTTTTGGCATTTGAACCAAAAGCACAATAGAAAATAAATTAACTTCAGCATGATTAAATTTATTGTACTATGCGATCCAGCAAGAAGGCTAACCAAGGTCAGAAAACCTGTAGTCATCACAAGGAATCCATATCAAATCATACAGAACAGAGCAAGCAATGAGCTACCACCTTTGAAAAGACTGACTGAAGTTTCACTCAGTGATTAGTTCTGCTACTCCAAATGCCCCTCCTGCTCTGTTATGTAAATAGAGCAGAGGAAAGTCTTTGATGAACCCCAAATATGTGGCAAGGACACCAGCTCTATACAGTTACAACAGCAGCCCTGCTCCATGCCTTCGTCGGCCCCCTTTGACTCTTGTACTCTACCTCCCTGCCAGGCGCCATGCAGCAAGAATCCTGAGCGCTTATTCAGCAGGGAAGGCACACATTCGCAGGACTTATTCACAAGGAAGAAGCGCTGTGAAAGCCTAAACTAAGAACTAAAAAACATTCGGCTAGCAAGGCCTGCTCCCAAGAACAGCTGGTGCTCCATCATGACAAGGCTAGCAGTGGGTTGGGAAGAATAGGTGCATTTTTGGTTTTGAAGAGAAGTCAGCTACTCTGCTCTGCCCGATTCTTATTTTAAGAAACAGGACTGTACCACAGCCACAGTGTCAGAAAACATCTGACTGAGAAAGGGTTAACTGAAGGTTCTGCTGGTGTTCAGAAAAAAACATAAGCACAAACAACCGTATGAACTTTACTAAGGCACCAGAATAAATGTCAGTTCCCTGTTAGCGCCTATTACCATCAAACTGTTAGTGATGACCTCGTGAACTAAATTCGTGACCATCATGATTACTAGCTCCCCTGGGTTCTCATACCTCAGAAGCCACCACCCCTCTCCTCTCTGCTCCCCTGCAAGCATGCCTGGGTGAACATCCTCAAACTTTAGTTAAACACATAGATCTTGTAACAGCATAGAGTGCATAGGGATGCAATGAGGGTGTAGCAGAGTAATAAACATGTGCTGCCCCAGTATGACAGGACTGAAGGGACTGTACGACACAGTAGGAGCATTTCTGTTTGGCAATAAAGCCGATAACACAAGCCTTAGGGTACTCTATGAACTTGTTATGCTTCTCAAGATGATCATCTGAAAAGAGATCAGACCGGTGGCAGTTCACACTGCATTAATCATGTCAGTCCCCCTGCTTCAGGGCTTCTGTTTACTGCCTTTGGAATCACAGAAGAAATCTTTTCCTTTGATGCATAATTTGGTTTCTGTTTTTACTAAGTTTTTTTTTTTTTTTTTAATCCTTCCAGCTGTGGCAATTTTTGGTACTTGAGAGGTTAAAGGAAACAGAACATGCTGGTGCCACGTTAGCACCGACATTTCTTAAGTTGCTGTTTTGTGTGCCTTGTTCACATACTCAGGATTAAACCATTACTAAATTTAGGGTCAGGAAAGAATCTTTTCCAGGCAGTCTATCAGAGACTTCAGGGCTTCTTTCTGCCCTCTGCTGTACTGTGAAAACATGTACTTTTTTTTTTTTTTTACAGGATCACCTGAAACTAAAAAAATCACACCAATTGCAGGAATCAGCCACTGGCAATGCTCTTGATTTCTCCTAACCTTGTCCTCCAGCACAAGGAAAACTGGAGTCTGTTATTGGAGGTCTTCGGTTAAAGCAGTGGAAGAGTGGAAGTAGTATACAAGCTATCTTCTCAGCAATGGACTTCCATGCAACATCCATCAGCAAAGCCTAGATTTAATGCAAGACAAAGGCTTGCAGACAAAATAGTAACTGTGTCAACATCCATTTCTTAGAAATTAGTGCCAAAACTGAGTGGTTCCTTTGGAGACTGTGCTGACGAGTACTTCCCTCCCACTGCCAGTAGCTGAAGCAGCCAACGCTGCCTGTTACCTACCACAGCACTATACTGTAGAAAAGGAATTGAGTTCTTCAGTACCACAGCAGACTTTCTAGAGAGAAACTAACCCCTTAAACTACATTCAGGCCCAGAAGCAGCCAAAGTGGATCACAAAGCATAGACTAGCATGCTAGTAACAAGAGATTTCTTGCATTTCCTTCAGTGTTTTTTTTTTTTTTAAATAAGTTTAAGAAAACATGCCCACCCCTCCCTTATAATAATGTAAAATAGCGTCATCTACTGTGGAGAGAAAAGTTAGAAGCCTTTTAGTCAGATACGTATCAAAAAAACTCTCTTTACCACCAATGAACCATTCAACCAAAGACACACATCTGTTTTTCACTGTATCTTCAGGCTCCTTCGCTCCCTAACTGCCAATGCCACTCATGTTTCATCCAAAATAAATTTGTCATTGTCATATTGAAACTTAGTAATGTCTCACTTAATAAACTCTGAACTACCTTACATATGTTGCACAAAGGAAACAAAATTATACAGGAGCATCTGTGATTAAAAAAAACAACATTGGCCCATGTTACCCACAGGGACATGACACATCAAATTCATCCACTCCCTCCTGAGGTGAACAAGCATGCCACATTTGAGGTTTGACGCAAGACAGCAGACAAACACAAACCCACCAGCATGGAGCACCTTTGCCAACAGTACACCTGGACTACAAACAGCTCACGTAATGGAACAGTTGCTCAAAGTTTAGAACGCAACTTGGATTAGCGAGATTTAGAGAAACAGACATGTAGACAAAGAATGGCTTTGCCATAATCAAGCCATAATCTTTTCAGTCATTTTCATGATAAAGCAAAGATGACAATAAACAAAACAGGGTAGCTGGCTAGACTGTCACTTCTACTACTGGCCTCTTGATACGCTCCCCACTGACAGGTTTGGTAAGAGTAGGCAACCTGCCATTTTTGATGGAGGTGCCTGATAATCACCATATAACGCAAATTAGATCCAGCAGCTTTCCCAGTCAGAAGTCAGATGGATCTAGCTTACAAATTGTGCCATGAAACTTCCCCAACACCTCTTAATTCTTAGCACAACCGAATAACCAGAACAAGTAATAAGCATCGTTGTCTCTGCAGTGTAGTAGAATTTTCTATGAGTGACTAACTAGTTCTTATCAAGAGACTGGAACTCAAAATTTCTAAGATATGACCAGTCATGCAAAACCCACATGGGAGAGGAAATAAGGAGAACATTCAGAGATCCATTTGTAGTACGTTCCCAGTCATACCTTCTTTTTGTTCTTAATCTGCATAAGTTCCTGAGGGCTTGGAAGGACACAGGAAAATCGAGTAGGCTTCCTGGAGATACTCTTCTCAGCTAGAAGAACAAAGGGTCATTACAGCCAAACCTATCTCCAGAGTGGCACTCAGTCCACTATAGTGCCCCACTCATAACTTTCAGTCAGAGTCTTGCTTCAATGCATTGCCCTGAAAATGGCAGTCACATTTCCCCTACTACCCAGCCACCACATTCCTTCCACCCAAATTTTATGCAGCATAATTGCATTATAGCTTCTTGGCCTGGACAATTTCACACATCCACAAGATTTAAATTTCTGGCTATTGTGACTATTTACATTACTGAACCCCTGGACAGCCCTTGATTACCTTAAAAAAGAAAACTAGCATAGGGATGAACTTTACACACCCCTGCCCCAAAGTGACCTACCGATCTAACCCCCTTGCAGAAGAAACGTGACTATAGCAGGCATATATATCACACGCGTAATCAATGAATATTCACCACATAACTCTTTCTAATTTAATTATAAACACATAATAGCTATAGTGAGCAACGGTATACTAGAACCAGACAGCAAACATCAGGACCATTCTCAGCACATACACATTCAGTAGGGGTTAGCATCCTGCAGAGACTATTACCTGCCTCGCTTCCTCCTTCCAACGCCATGCAGCCCTGCTTCATCCGGTCAGCCATAAGGCACCCACTGGTGGGAGGACATGCCCCAGCTGGCTCTGCAACTGCACTAGAACATTTTCCCTCACTGAGCACTCGCTCTTTGTCTGTAGAAGTTAAAATGAAAAACACTCAGACAGACCCATAAGCCAAGGAAAAAAAGCTACTAAAAGAGAAATAGAAAAGTGATCATTCTAAATTGAATATGTGCTTATTCAAAAGACTTCGCTATTTCCCCCGCAGTAATGGTGATTCCTCAGTATTTTGTCCACGTGAACTCCAAGGTATACCCTCCCTCTGTTGGGAGTACCAGTCTTGAAATGGCATTTAAATGAAGCGTCACATGAGGGGCACATTTTAATATCTGTAAATTTTACTTCCCCCATATGGCACACTCAAATGATCAGGCAGGCAACGAAAGCTGGGGAGAGGTTTAACCCAAAAACTAGATACCTCTCTCTTTCCATGAAATGAATGAAAGACAAAGTAGTTTGATTACTATCGTTACTCTGATGCACAGTAAAGCAGGAAACATGGCAGTCGTCCATCTCACTTCACAGACAATACGAATGAAGTTAAGGGCAGGAACGACTCTGCCCATTAACGCTCAAATAAATATAAATAAGTCTTGGCCAGCAACTTCTGCGTCCAAGAGTCTGGTCTTATCCACAAGCATGTAGCAAGCAAAGTAAAGCCTGGTAATTTCTTCCCCCAGGTAGAGAGAAAGAGCATGTGCTGACCTGGCCAAAGCAAGATTTAGAACAAGAACCAAAACAAGATTAAAATTACGTGTTCCCTTTTTTGAAGTTAACAAAAAAGGGAATATTTCTGTGCTTATTTCTGTGTTATGAGCATTTCATCCCTAAGAAATCTCTAGATCCTCTAAGGTCTGGAGAAGAAAAGAGGCGTGATATTCTGGAACAGTGGACTGCGTTTCTCTGATATTCGCAACAGAGACCAGGCCTCTCTGAGGCCCTGCTCTGACAGCAAGGTTATAAACATCAGTGCGTGGCTGTAAAACACGCAACTAGAAGACCAAAATCATACATTTAAGCAGCTTATTACATAAGCTACCAAAATGAGATTTGTAAGTTTAGCACAAGATGGAGTTAATACCAAAATATCAAAGCAAGGGGTCTTACTGTTGCTTGTTTCTTTGGTGCTGTTCATGGCTTCTGTGTTAGGTTTGACCACTTCCTTCTCTTGTTGATGGATGCTGCTCAGCCCTTTGGCCTGGCAATGTGCCTCTATGCTATCTATCACTGTCAACAATGCTTCCAGAGACAGCAGATGGACAGTATACAGCTGTCCAGAAACTGGAAAGGCATTCTAGGAAATAAAATAAATAAACATTAGACAACTTTCATGCCTCTCCATGATGGGGGAAGGCAGTTTCCCCTCACTGCTTTGGGAACCCAATCACACACAACAGAACATCTGAAACTTTCTAAACAAGGCTTTTGAGCATACAATTAATAGTTTAAATCTGTTCTCTTCTGCCTCCAAACGTTAAATGTATTCTTCATCTCTACAACCTCCTCATCCCAGATCTTCCATCCACTCTCGCTCTCAAGTTCTGCTTCTGTGCTTAACTTTGTTCTGACTTGGCGGCCTCCCTTTCTGCATCCCTCCTGCCCTCACAGCCCAGGGCCAAGGAGGAAGCGCAAGCCCAGCCTGTTCAGCACCTTGGAGAGCAGCTTGGTGAGCTCCTCGAAGAGGTTGGCGCAGTAGTAGTCACAGTCATAGTTAATGTAGAGCTCAGTAACAAAACTGGGAATCCGCCACAGCTGAACTATGGCTTCCAAAGCCATCTCCTTCATTTCATAGGGCATCTTTGGGTTTTCCACAGTGATTATTTCCATCAGCTTCTTGATATA